ACAGCAGAGTGTTGAATATCGAAACTGAGAAGTAGATCATTAAGGAAAATAGGAATCTTAGCAGGTGTGCATAAGTTTACTATTTAAATAATCTGAACGTCTGCAATATTAATTGCGAAAACGCCACGCCTACCGAAAACACATTAGGACTCTGATACCTAACCCAACGGGGGCATGTTTAAAGAAACCGAAGAGGTAAGACATGGGGAAAACCAGTAAGGTGGGGAAAGGACATTTATGTTTATACCTAGATGATTGTAGAAGCTGCGTCTTGAGTAGAGTACAGTGTCACAATACGGGCACAAAAATAGAGGCAAACAAATGTGTGCGGCCAAGTGTTCCTTTAACTTCCTTCGGCATGACAGCTTGATGGGACAGAGTTCCACTGGCAAGCATGGTAACTGCCAGTTACAGTTCTGCAAAGAGTCCGGGCGAAGGACAGTGCCAAACGTTTCTTCCTCTTCTTTGACGGGGTGGGTATCCGCGTGGTTCACCACGTGTAAACGGAATAGATAGGCACACTCCGAACTAAAAATAAAAAGGACAAAACACTGCACAAACCACAAGCGCTATAGGTAACGAATGGTATTCTTTTTAATTTCAAGATAATTACAAGGATTAAAGAGTCCGCTAACCTAACCCCCACAAATCGAAATAAGCGATTTGCAACAATCCTGTAGACAGGAAAGCAGAGGAGACCGGGATGATGTTTTTTCTGTCAACCGTTTACAGGTTTCCCGGTACGTTGGCTGAGACATGACTGGTTGACGACGTTGTACAGGCCCGGAGTGAATATTCTAGTATTGCTGGTAACGCCTACTGATCATTTTTGATGTGATCGTCCCTGAGCGCTCAATAGCAAAAATGAATGTCTCGTAAGTTCTAAAATTACGACAGACATCAATTGAAGTAAAACCAAACGCCCGAACAGAAGATATCACAATATCAGGCATATAAGGGATGCAACGGGATTAATTCACTAAAATACTCGGAAAAGCTCAAATCGACCTCATAGATGCTCGTGTTTTTTAACACTCGTTTACAGATGCATGAAGATACATCAGAAACATTGACATCGAGAAAAACAGCGTAGGCAATCTGTTTCAACAGATTAGAATACTGAATTGAAAGAAGCATGAAGACTGTTCTTCTAGACTTTATCTGCAATTACTGAAGGAGCACGTGCAGTTGTGACATTCGGTAGATGGGAAGACTGAGTCTCGCTACACGACTTTCCACAATAATTATGGCTCATCTGTAGTCATGTGAAGGCTATATAAACATAGCCGAGGCTAATAAATGAAGGGCATATCTAAGTTAGGCAGTCACATAAAGAAAAATAATCACAAGGCGGTAAGTTATGTTGGTAATATAAACTACATACAAGTCCTGAAAGCTATCAAAAGATCGGAGAGACATGCATTTAATCTTACTTTTTACAAAACATTTGCTTGAAGTAATGTACTGTTGTAAGTGTTTTGCTGGTTGACTAAACTGCCCTTCCAGAAAATAAGAACCCTTCTCCCTATGCGAAGCAAAACCTAGAAACTCCGGACATTATGGAACGTTAAGATATATAAGCCTAATAGTAAAACTGCCTTTTGCCTCCAGGAACCATAGAATCCGGACGTTAATTAACCTGTTGATCCAACCTATTAGTTATAAAACTAAGCGGCCGCAAACAAGCGAGTTGTATCAATAAATGAAGAACTTTGCTGTCAAATAAAATGTCAAAAGGGAAGACATTCAGGGATGACTTACACAACATTGCAGTCCTTCCACATACACTTGAAGCCATATTTAATAACGTCAGATGTTGGAGCAAGCTCTGTGGTAAACCAATTGTCCCTTGGAGGCCGCAGACAAGGTTCACTTCCAACTGTCTTGGTTCTAGTAAGTTCATCAATTACGTTGACAGCCAACTGCCGACAGGATTCAGCAAAAACATGCAGCAAGACATGACGCCGCTTTTGAGTATGGGAGAGGCCAGAAAGTTCGGGGAAAGGACAGTACAGCCAGAAACAGAATTCTGATTGTTCTTCCGAGAGATGGTCCAGTGTATGCAAATGCAAATTCTCATAGGAAAGGAAGCGATTATCACATGACAACCAAAAACAACAAAATGCCCTATTAGTGCTAAGAACGTGTCCAGTCGACCTCTTTGTCGTCATTTTTAAATGGATTCGAAGAGAAATAACCTCGGAAAAAAAGGTTCGGCACACAGGGCATATGAGACTGCCTAGGCCAATGTGCGAAAGGAGATGAGACAGCATTGAGGAATTCAGATTTCTGCAGTTGTAGGCTGCAGGAGACCACAGACAATTGGTTGGATGACTTCGGGCATGCTCGGCTAGATGTCTTTCGAAAACAATGAAAGAATCGCTCTGAAAAGAACAGTCCTGCCACAAGCAAGTTAAATTTGTTAGTATGTGTTTGGGTCTTTTACAGATGGAGGTGCATTGAGCCACCTCAAGTGAGAACTCATTTTCGAATTCCTTTAAGACGTTAACGGAGTGCTCAAATACATACTCCGTGTAGACATGATAACGCAAATGTCTAATAAATGTAGGTAAACGGACGTCGAACGGCGGAGGTGGGTATTGACACTCAGCCCATTCGCATCTGCGCCTAACACAGGATGGAAGGTTTGGGTCTATGTGGTCTACCACATGCTCTTCGAGGAGGTCGGGATCAGCGAAATTTAATCCACAATTAGACCACCGGCAGAACAGATTGGAATTCATTCAGGTCTTGAGCGACATACTAAAACAGAAAAAATCGAAGTGAATATAATGAAAGGTGTTGTCTAATAAATAAGATACGTCTGACCAGAAACCGTAGGTGTATATGCACAAATGCGTGCGTCAAAGATAAGAAATTTAATCCAAAATAAAACCCCCGGCAACACAGATTGAAATTCATTGAGTTCTTGAGCCATATAATAAAAGAGATATAACCAGTGTGAACGTAATGAAGGGAAACCGAAAACCGTAGGTGTATATTGACAAATTAGAGCGTCAAACCACCCCACCGGTACGCATGGGTCCGAGAGGACCATTGCTGATACAGGCGAAAGGGCGACTATCGGTTGGCAGTTGATAATTTAATGACAAATTGAGATTTCGTTGACTTAAAATATCAAACTCTAAGCAATCGTCAGACGCGGTCTCTTACGATGAATAAAAGTGGTGATCTGAAACCTCAGAATAATCAAACTATTGCTCGAGTGATAGTCGCCTTTGCAGACCGCTCCTCATCCTCGACAGCATTAATGAGATAAACAGAATAAGTCAACAAACGGCTTTCTGATAACGCATAGAAATAATATATCCGATTTTATACTTATATACAGAAAAAGCCAAGTCAAATTGACATGCGCCTCTCAAAACGACCCCGCAGTGTTGTAAACGAACGAATATCAAAAATCGTCAAAACAGGCCAACATTAGAAATCGATTTTTTAAAATAATGTTTGTTCTCTTTAGTTGCCACTAATAATTACCAAGGATATAAAGGCGTTTGATGCAGAGCCACAAATAACAATAATGGCAGAGTCGATTGACTTTAAAACCGCCGCTTGCAAACCACACAGGATATCCTATTGGCAATGAACTATGTGTAGTATTTCACCGGTATTTTTTTGGTTTTTGTGGTT